TTTCTCAAAGAAAAATATTTTAGATGCCTGGAGCAGAACATGATTGTCTAACACTTTAGCAGGATGAAAACTTGGAAACATTCAAATCTGTAGGAAAAAAAAAAAATGTTTTGACGTTTTGGAATTCTGTAACACTGAGATATTTTTTTTCTTCTTCACGGTTTCAACTATTCAGAGGTTTATGACTCCAGGCAAACAGCTAAATACAAAAATGAAATTCATATTAGGGAGCTGTTTACCTGATAAATAATTAGTTTTTCTGTCCATCCAGTCCTGAGATCTCCTCAGCTCTCCCACACAGTACTGCGCTGGTAGGTTGTTTGCTGCAGTTTTGCTTTCACATACGTGTCCCCTCCCCAACCTCACCATGTGACTGACCTTCAAAGAAGAAGCAGCACTAGTAATCTAATTTTTCTGTCACTCTGCTCTCTCTTCTATTAACATGCTCCCTGCATTGCAAGACACCTGCTGACTGGCTCCTTGTGCTGCTTCTATCTCCCACTCTGCGGGCTCTGCTGTACCAAGACTGCAAGAGGCTGATACCAAGCTAAATTCAGATATAATGCTTGCATTTAAACTGCAACTGAAGCCAATTTTTGTTTGTTTTGGATAGAGTAGAGAGGGATTACAACCCCTGTCATGATTTTATTGCTGTCTGTGTCCCGTTCGGGAGATTCACCCTCTCCATTTGTCCTAGTGACCATTTTTACTGACAGTGAAAGAAAATCCCAAATTTTGGGTTGTCATCAAAATAGAAATAGATGAGAAATCTTCCAATGGGGACTCAATTTCTGTGAACCTGCTCAATGGCGGACGTAAGGAACAAAGGGCCCCGGTGCAAGATTTTTTCTTTGGCCCCCCCTCCAAGTGGATGACACTGGCCCAACAACCGACACTCCCACCCCCATCAGCGGTCTCTGCACCATGGGAGCTTACACTCCCCCCACAGTCTCACACTATTATTATTTTTATACATTTATATAGCTCTAACATTTACCACAGGGCTGTACAGAGAACACTGAGCCAGTCACATCAGTCTCTGTACAGAGGAGCTTACACTCTAATGTCACAGTAACGCACTGGACTCAGGACTTAGTAACATACTGGACTCAAGACTTAGTAATGCACTGGACTCAGGACTTATCCCTAAAAGCATGCATTTGCTATAAAACAGAAAGTGCCTGCAGTTTATACGCATGTCATGTATACAGTCCAGTCTTATCATGGATGGAGTCCTGCCACATATTATAAACTGGCTGTGATAGTGGAACTCACCTGCTGTGTAGACTATGAGCTATGGAATGGGAATGCCATTCATTCTAATCACCATCTACTCAGACATGTAGACAAAACAGAACTTCCTCCATCACTCCCAGCCTCTGACTTCTCTACTCATACCTGCCTGCTATCTCCTGTTTTCTGTTTTTTTTTACTGATGTGAATGTGCACCTATGTAAAACGCTGCGTAAATTGTCAGCGCTATATTAATAAATAAATTAATTAATTAATTAATAAATACTCCTGACTATCAACAAACAAACTATTCTTGAATGGGTGGGACTAGTACTCATTAAAAAAAAAAAATAATTTGCAGAACCTTATTACTGAGAAAAATACATTTTTTTAAATCTATCTGGCTCCTTATGATGGTGAACTGAGGTCCCACTATATATAAGACAACATTGTCCAGGTGATAAATCCAGTATATAAGTGAGTTGTGTCCACAAGATGACTCCAGTATAAGTTAACTCTATCCAGCTGAGGATGCCAGTATATAAGTGATCCATGTATGGGTGATGACTCTGGTATATAGGTAAGTCCTCTCCAGCTATGACCACATTATATAAGTGAGTCTTCTCGGGGTGATGTCCCCAATATATGAGTGAGTCCTCTCTGGGTGATGAACCCAGTATTAAAGTGGGTCTTCTCCAGGTGATGTCACCATTATATAGGGGAGCCCTGTATGGGGATGACATCAGTACATAAGTAAGCCATCTCCAGTGATGATTCCAGTATGTAGGTGAGCCTTCTCCAGTGATGACTACGGTAAATAAGTGAGCCCTCTCCAGTGATGACTGCAGTACATAAGGGAGCCCTGTCTGGGTAATGACACCCTCTAATGATGACTCCAGTATACAAGTGAGCTCTGTCTCCAGTGATGACTCCAGTATATAAGTAAGCCCTCTCCATTGATGACTCCAGTATATTAGTGAGCCCTCTCTCCAGTGATGACTCCAATATATAAGTGAGCCCTGTCACCAGTGATGACTCCAGTATATAAGTGAACCCTCTCTGGATAATGAGTCCAGTATATAAGTGAGCCCTCTCTCCAATTATTACTTCGGTAAATAAGTGAGCCCTCTCCAGTGATGACTCCAGTATATACGTGAGACCTGTCTCCAGTGATGACTCCGAAATATACATGAGCCATCCAGTGATGACTCCAGTACATAAGTGAGCCCTGTCTGGGTAATGACTCCAGTATATAAATGAGCCCTCTCCAGTGATGACCCCCCTGAGCTCAGGCAGGGAGTGCGGTGAGGAGTGCAGTGTGGCTGTGCGGGGATCTGAGCTCTCTATATGAACACAGCCTGGACTCTGCACAGGTCTGGCCCACGCACATTCCTGAACACTGAACGAGGCTAATTCGTTTCCTGCCTATTAAATTATTATTTTTATGCCCCTGAAGAAACTTGTAGGAGAAATCTCAGGAATTAGTCTTTACACATTCGATTAAAAAAAAAAAAAAAAAATCGGCTTTCCATTTAGAGATGATTAGAAAGTATTTGGAGAGTAGATGCAGAGTGGGAATCTGCAGGAGGAGGAGGAAAGCTAATGTCACAGAGGAGCAGTACAGCCCCTACGATTTAGGAAGAGGAGACAGACACCAAGATATTATCATTATTCCAAGTAGTAGTTATGATAATAATAGTAATAATAATAATAATTATTATTATTATTATTATTATTATTATTATCATTAAATATTGCTACTACTATTTCACAACACGTTTGGCTCACACAGTCCTAAAATAATTAGTGTATATATAAAGCTAATAATACAAGTTTTACTAGTGCAGTGATCTACATTTACCAAAAAGCACATTGTCAGCAATAATATACTGTCAGTATCCATTTCGGGAACATAATGCTGTTAATGGTCTCAATAAATAAAATAATAACACAGTAGTACTTCTACTGGCAGTGAAAGTAATGGTACTGCTCCCAGGAATAGTAATATAGTAGTAATATACCAGTATCAGGACTAACAATGAAAAATAATAATGATCAGTACATAGCAGTGTGTGGAAGTACAGGGATGTCAATGTGCTGCTACTACTACATCTAATGTAATTAAGGCACAACAATTAAAAGGCTTACGACTATCAAAAGTCGGGAATGGAGTATTATCTCCTTGGGGATGCTGTCTTGATTTCTTTTAAAGCTTCATTGTATTCATTAAAGTTTGGTAACTTTCGTTTACTTATTAATATTACAGTTTTGTTTTACAATCTATTACCACTATTATTATCACCACTGACAGTGCTATGCTGATATTATTATTAATATTAATATTATTATTATGTGGATCTGTAAGCATTGCACCTGCATATGCAAATACTTGGTAGCCATAACAATGAGAGTATATTGCTGGATGTACAATTATTTTTGATAAATAGTAATGTAAGCAAATCTCCGTAGTAAAATGTTAATTCTACTAGAATGTGTTTACTACAAAACGTAAACACAAACACTAGCTAGACAAATAAAATGTTTCTGCCAGCCTCTCAGTGGTAAAGTGTTATCATAAAGTCACTCTGGATGTTGTCAGGATAAAGACATTTTCTCCAGAGCAGAGTGAAGCTGATGTATAATCCAAGGCACACTCTGTGCTTTTTCTGTGTGTCTGCTTGGCTGCTTTCTGCCCAAGATTTGAGAAAATATAAAAAAGCAATTGATTTTCCACTGCTGACATCGTAGTAATTGGAGAATAACCCTAAAATGGAGATGCTATACCTACAGCCTGCCTGTACTACACTGTGATTTTATTATGACTGTATCAAATTAATCTATCTATCTATCTATCTATCCATCCATCCATCTATTTCTCTCTCTCTTTCTTTCTCTTTCTTTCTCTTTCTTTCTCTCTCACTCTCTCTTTCTCCCCTGCATATTGTTGCTTGTTGTTGTTGTTGTTGTTATTATTATTATTATTATTATGACTATTGTTATTATTATCATTATTATTATTATTATTATTATTATTATTATTATTATTATCATCATCACCATCAATATCATCATCTTTATTTATTTATTTTTTTACAGTAGTTGTCAGCGTACTGGCAATTATTACCAAATACAACTAAAGCATGTAAAAAGAAATCAGTTTATTTGAGAATAAATCACACGACTGTCTCGTTTTTCCAACTGTAGTTTATAAATTAGAGGGAAAAGTACAGCATCTTAGAAAAAAGATCTATTCACAACAAGGATATTCTGGAGCCCTCTGCTGCAGGCCTTCTATACAGGACCATCTCCACAAAGCAGGCCAGGCAGTCCGGCATTTCATTGGAAGACTCTCTCTGTCCTACCTTTCATCTTCACATTGGCTATGATAAAGGCTAGGAAAGTGCTAGGGCAGTGTCAGATCTCCATGGGGTGAGACCTTCGGATGAAGAGGGGGCCCTGGTAGTGGGAAAGGGACGCCAGACTTGGAATAGGCAGGAAAGATAAAGATTTTGGAATGTCAGATTTCCCAAGTACTACCAGTTGCCCCCCACCGAGTCATTTAGGGACCGTGTGTCCTTGATTTGGTACTCTTTTTCCAGCTAGCACCGTTTCGCTGGTTTCCAAGGCCAGTCTATAAAAATATATGTAGTTATAATATGTAAAACCTATACACAGTTCAAACAGCATGGATACCATGGAGGAAGCCCGCCTAGTTTGATCTCCTCCTGATCAAATCTTGTGATGGAGTCGGCAGGCTGATTAGGGGATAGCCCCAGCTCCCCTGATTTTGGACAGTGATAACTAATAATTGCTGGCTAGGCTTAAGGCGTCCCTCCCGAGCAGGCGGCAGCCGCTGCTGCGGCAGCAGCCGCTGCCGATAGCGTCCATCCAGGCAGGGCACAATAGTAGGGGTAATAGTAAGGGGGCTGTAATGGAACCAGTGACGGCCGCAGCACCTCTCCAGGCTGATACTGTCTTTGATCGTCCCTCACCAGGACCTTGACTGCCACTTTCTTGGCTGCCGGGGCCGTGGCCATCATATCTGCAGCCATCTGCCGGCGCTTGGTCTTGTAGCGGCGGTTCTGGAACCAGATCTTCACTTGGGTTTCTGTCAGCTTGAGGGAGGCGGCCAGGTCGGCCCGTTCTGGCCCCGACAGGTAACGCTGGTGGTTAAAGCGTCTCTCCAACTCAAAGACCTGTGCATGAGAGAAGGCGGCCCGGGAGCGCTTCTTCCGCTGCTTGGGAGCCTCCAGAAGGAGCTGGTCACACTTGGGGTCCTCATCTGGGGGGCTGGGATCTGAGAAGACATTGGAATGTTAATATAACCAGCATTTCATAAATGAATCCAGGCAATAATCAATAAATTAGACACGCGGGTAGTCAATACATATGGAATTAGAGTAACCAAGAAATACATTAATGAAAAAAATAATCAGTCAACGATTCATGAGATCAGATGGTTACACAAGTCATGAATGTACCAGATATGATGATTTACTATAGTAGACAATAAATAATAATCTGAATAAGCTATAGTGGCTACTAATTTATGATTCACTTATAGGGACATCATACCAAGATGATTAAATAGAATCCAGGCAATTGAGCCAGGGCTCATTTTCTGACCCATCATGTATCCGTATAACGTTTACATATAAAGAAGCTTGTTTACTCATGTAGACATTCTATCCTAAGTACCTAATCAGCTACAGGGGAATTAAGAAAATAAAAAAAGGATTCACATCTCCATATGATCACAATGCAGTATAAAATGTCTCCATACCATCAGACTACCTATAGCAAAATGCAAAGGGGGGTGGGGTGCAGTATAAAATTATTCCATACCACCAGACTACTATTGCAAAATGCAATGGGGGGATGCAGTATAAAATGTCTCCATGCCACCAGACTACTATTGTAATGTCTCCATACCACCAGACTACTAGTGCAAAATACAATGGCGGGATGCGGTATAAAATGTCTCCATACCACCAGACTACTAGTGCAAAATACAATGGCGGGATGCGGTATAAAATGTCTCCATACCACCAGACTACTAGTGCAAAATACAATGGGGGGATGTAATAAAGAACAAGAGACTGATCTAAGTGAATGTCCACTTATTTAAAGTCATTAAAATGAAGCTGCGTTCGATTCAAATATGTGCAGGAAAACTCCTGGCTTCTTTTTTTGGTGTATGATTTCCCTTGCACAGTATTGAGTATTCAAAGTGAGCATACCTTCACCTTACTCACTAACCTCAATTATTATTCTCTAATCCCTTAGTAAATCAACTCTAAGGCGTCATTCAATGCTACCGAAAGTATTCAGGTGTTGTGGTCTGTTATACTTTGAAACGTCTTATTATATTTATCAGCAATCAAGGTTTGTATTTAAGATTATAAGTATCAATAATAGCTAGCTGTTTAAATCTACCTATAGAAAGAAAGAAAGAAAGAAAGAAAGAAAGAAAGAAAGAAAGAAAAAAGAGATAAAAGAAGAAAGAAAGAAAAAAAGAGATAAAAGAAGAAAGAAAAGAAAGGAAAGAAAGAAAGAGAGGGAGAGAGAAAGAAAGAAAGAAAGAAAGAAAGAAAGAAAGAAAGAAAGAAAGAAAGAAAGAAAGAAAGAAAGAAAGAAAGAAAGGGAAAGGGACCATATAAATAAGAAAGAAAGAAAGAAAGAAAGAAAGAAAGAAAGAAAGAAAGAAAGAAAGAAAGAAAGAAAGAAAGAAAGAAAGAAAGGGAAAGGGACCATATAAATAAAGTCCAAACGAGATAGCACACCACTCGCTGGCTGCTATTGATATTTTGCCTTGTCCAGGTTCAGTGAGCCTCCACATTCTTTATGACTAATGCATACAAATAGTAGACTTGTTGAACACCTGGGAGGAAACATCTCATATACATAAAAGTAGATAATATATCCGAGATAGATATTATTTTATCTCCTGGTCTGGACACAATTCTCCAATGTACTATGGTGTCCAGAGCTGGTGAGAAGCTGGCAGGCAGATGCCCCTATCCTACAGGGAAACATTCAGCTCCTATGATATGCTGACCATTTAATAGAGGGCCTTCTCAGCTCGGAGGTCAGAAGTTAATTTTGGTTACAGAACTTAATACTTCAGCGAGGGGAGAGGCCAGGAGGTCACCAGCTTTGTGCATCTGCCACTGACTGGCAGCCATAGGGCACAGAGTCCTGTATACACAATGTACCCACACTGCACATCACCAGAGGACAGCTCACACGTCACATTTGATTTATTAGAGATTGCACACTTAGCAAAATGAACGTTAATCGAGCTTAGTAAAGATGAAGCTGTGTTCACTTAATGCACTTATTATATGCTAGCAAAAATCCTATTTTTTTTTTTCACAAGCACGTGATTGAGTATACAACTTCCCAAAGTGTACTGCCATTCTAATGTTCATTTAATAATCCGTGATAACATTTGCAAAGTCCCTACTCTTTCAGTAAATCGACTCTACCCTGTGCTCTGGTGACTGCAGCCCATTGGGTGCTCCTCATCCTGCGAAATCTTACCCCAATGGTATAGTGAAAAATATATCTGAGCAATTTCAATGATAAATGATAGAGTCACCACAACTAACACTATCGCCTAACAATCAGATACAATGTCCAAGCCTAAAACCCAAAAATTAACAATATCTTCCTGAAAGAAATGCAAACACACACATTCATCCATTAAAATTCAATATACACCACTAGCGTATTACCTGCATCTGTGAACTCCCTATGTACTAATGATGTGTGTACACACATGTAAATAATATGTATAGTAAATATTTGCATGTATGTACACTGCTGAAAATCGTGTTTTGTTCCTTCATTTTCCAAAGACAGACAGCCGACTGTCACTACATAACAACATCATATTTATTTCATGTATTCATTAGAGAATTTACTATTTATAGAAAAATTCTTCTCCCGGCCCAACTGAGAAACGATCTTTTTCATTAATAAATTACGGGTCTATGATATATTTATAAATGTTTTCATCCAAGATTCACATATTTTTTAATGTAAGCTATGTGTGAATCATGTGTGAAAACATTGATAAACAGATCCCTATATTAATTATATATCTTTGTAAGCCTGGGGTAGATACATGGGCCCGCCTGCCGGTATTATGAAGGCCTTTCTAGTTATTTCACTTTCGTTATAATTAGAAATAACGTAAAGGTATGAATAATTCTGTTACGAATCTGTGTTGGGATGTCTGGACTGTCCATAATTTCCTCAAAATAAATATTTCTATTTAAATGTGGACTTTATATATATTTTTATATATATTTTTCCCGCACCTATAAACATTCCATCTGCCAGATAGATAAATTATTTCCAGCTGTGATATCCATAATATCGACTGAAAAATACACTTTTTATTGCACTTATTCTGCACTGCTGCAGCAAAATGTGTGCACACTACGAAACCACAAAACCTAACCAAAACACACCTTGTTTTCAACATTTCTAACCTACAACCTCATCCTCCACAGACACTTCTGGTGAGAATACAACTATTCTTTCCTCAAAGAACTTGAGGAAAGAACGCTGCTCCCAGATGTGGGCAATAATCTGAAACTCAGGTTGTGTTTGGGTGTACATCACAGCAGACACAATAAGACTTCACTAACACCTCCTTCAGACATGTAGCCACGCCCACACGATGACAGGACAGTCACAGGGGAGAGAGAGAGTGACACATCCCTTGTAATGAAAACACAACCAACACTACACTAATCAAATGTTTTATTAAATTAGGCAAATGGAAAATTCAAGCATCAGCAATAAGGCAACCAAAATCGAAACCAAAACATAGGTAATCATAAAAACAATTATTATTATGACTATTATTATTATCATCATCATCATCATCATCAATAAAACAAGTGCAACTACTACCACTTTTACTTCCACTTCTATTACTATTATTATTACTTGTAATACTAGCAGGCTTATCATCGGCGTTTTGAATATGACGTACTGTGAATTGTCATGGCACTGGTATATAGTTATTTCTGATGAAAATAAAATTGCAATTATTGAAAATATATATTTGTAATAATACAAGCAACATAAATAGATCTATAAATAAATAAAATAGTGCACATAAAAAGAATAGTGGTGATGTTTAGATATAATGATACTAATACTACTACTCTTACTAATAATAATAGCAGCAATAGCTAGCTAGTAGTATTAGTCACATTCACCTCAACTTGTTCTGTAATGTTTCATCATTACAAAGCAAGCCCAGTATGGGACTACTTCATAGACAATAATAACAAAAGCAATGCATTCTTCATGAATTTTAGATACGATTTAAGCTATATTTTCTTTTGTAGGGAACATATTATTAAAATAAAGAGTGAATTATATTACCTTCTTATTGTTTCCTGATGCTTAAATCGACACTTAGGTCCAAAATTGTTTCATTTTTGTATATATGTGGCACATAACATATCTTTCTCTTCCTCTCTCTCTCTCTCTCCCTCTCTTTATATATATATATATTCCATTTACAAAGCTAGCACACCAGGATAAGTATCTTTATTTTCTGAAAAAGTGAAAGTTATTTCCAGCTAAGTCCAATGAAATCTGAAAATGACAGTCACGTGACCAGAAATAAAGTGACTTGGGATGTTGCTAAAGCTTTGTAAATTGAGCCCATTGCATTAGTTTATAGTGAATTAGCTTTTCTATTGTACATGATATAGTAAGATGGAAGACAATTCATATGTGATGCTGTGATATTATGTAAAAATTAGTATACACATGTAATGTTAAGGGGCCTATATATAATTCGTGTCTGCTTGAACTGTAAAGGGGTTTGGTGTACAGTTTGATGTCATGGTTCATGTATAAGAGGTAATGTGAAATGTATACAACGAATGCCTTTCTGCAGTGTTAGGGGACACCTTAGTATAAAAGAAGAATTCTTATATACTTATATACTTTCTGATACTTATATGTATAAGAAGGTGAATTGTAATGTTTACAGTGAATCAGTTGCAGATGCTACTTTGTATATAATGATTACAACATATTTAGCTGGGCCGGTACTAGAGTTACATGTAATAGATATTTGCTCTGTATTG